AAAACTTATAATCTTATAAGTATTTTATTAGATTTAATATTATTTATTATATTAGAAACTATAAAAACTATAAAACTATAAAACTACACTACTTCTAATGCTCTGATCGTGATCTACCACGTAAGAATAAACGTATTATAATACGTTAAATATATTAATTAAACTAATAACTTATTATAACGCGTAATAGTAAAAGTTATAATAAGATAGTATTAGTTATTAATTACGTGGAGTTATAATAGACCCGAGCTTTAGGCTCGAGTCTATATACCCCTAGGTATCCTGTCTAGACCCGCCGGATCGGATATTTCTTGGGTAAAAGGGGGGAATTCCTCTTTTATTCTTTTTTAAGCCTATTATTATCTTTTAAGACGCTTACATGCAGGAGCAGGTAAGGCTAGTCCATAACAAGAGTAAAATATAGTTTACACTAGTACCGTAAAGTCGTTGCTTGAAAATTGGCTGCCGTTTTCGACTCCCGGGCCCCGCTTTCCACCTCCCGCTGCTTTAGAGAAATCTATAAGACCACCACCAAACCCATCTTCCTTCTCGGCCTCCCCTTTAGCTCCATTGACCTTGAAGATTCCCACTAGTCTCTCCCTTGCCGTCGCAGGTCTCCATTTCTCCATTTCTTGGGTTGCGTGGGTCGCGTCGTTGTTGAACTCAACAGCCTCCGCTTCCTGTCGCACCTCAATGTCCTGAAATGCACACATGCACCTCTGTTCGGCAGATATCATCCACAATAACAATCCTCACGCCATGTTGCCCAGCACCGCTCATTCTTCTCTTTACCATATATTAAATCTACAAATTTACGGTCCGCCGGCGAATGACTATAGCGTTTGCTAACCCTACAAACTCTGGAGCTTAGTAACGTGCTTCTTCCATCCAAAAATCTTGCAAAGACGACCTGTCGGCGATGATCTGCTCTAGTGATGGGTTGCCTCTAGTGCTCGGACTGTCCGGGACGATTTTTAACGCTTGCAGTAAGGTAGGGCTGCTAACGCGGCTAAGCCTTCCTGTTATCTCGCAGGATTTGCCTTATCCGCCCCCCCTCATGAAACCCGTGAGGCCTGACCGCCCTGACTTTATCATCTGAGGCTTTTCAGCTGATCTTCTAGCGTCTAGGAATATTGGCTGAAAGTGCTAGGGATTAGCTTGCCCATGTTGCCTTGCTCTCATACTAAGGCACAAGCATGCCAGACTACGTTCAACTTAGGCCCATGACCTGCGGCCACATCCCCTTTTATAGTGTGCGCATTGTGTTAATCTTATCGCGCCGCTTCTCGAATCATTGGTGCTGTCTTTATTGGTATTATCTCTTGCGTTAGGTGAATACTTCCACGCTTAAGGTCAGGGCTGAGCAACTTCTCCTGAACGACAGGCTGAGCAGCGACCGTTCGATTATCGGCACATTGACTTCCCGCGTCACATTACAAGTCCAGCGTACTTCAAGAAGATAGGTCAAATAACCGTATAAAAGTACAAGTGGAGTAGATAAAAGTAGGTAGGTAGTTTATTACGCCCGCAGGATTCTCCCCCAGAGGGCCTCATATGTGAGTCTACTATCGCCTCCCAACGATCGGCCTTGCCTCGTCCAGCCCAACACTGTCAACATCCTCTCTCGCCTGCTTGATTTGTGACTATGACAGTCCTTCGCTGCTGGTCGTTTGGTCCAAGTACTCGTGCCCAAAGTGAAGTAAAATCCGTATCCGCATCCGTGGTTTATCTTTCCCCTTCACCAACCTTGTGCATCCGCTTCTGCCTTCGGTGTAACTTGGAAGAACTCATAAAACCTCTTGGTACGCTATACTCGCCGCTTGTAAATCATCGTACTTCCACTTAAGGGATTGAACATGTGTCTCGTCTGACCTGTCCGTGTCGTATAGACAGCTCACGCCATGGGAATAGCAACTTGCGCAGGTCGAGCGCTCTCCGCTACACTATGAATCGATTTGTTTAGTATGCAAAGAGCATATTATAGTACAAAAGCCACAGTTATACCTTTCACTTTCGCTTTTTACAGGTTAAACATGCTGCTTTAACGGGGCGTCTCTGCGTACTTGATTCTTGGATTGTATCTACTAAGCCAATTTGGCTGCCATCAGATTTTGGGAGCAGCCGTCGCTCTTGCTGGTCTGGGTACTCAAGTAGTCAATACGTTTGCTGTTGACACCCATACTTGCAGAGGTACTTAGTTAATTTGCAGCGCTTATTGACCAGTGTACACGGACGATGCAAAATTGGCCAAGGAGGGAGATGTCTACTCCGAAATAATCAAGAAGATTCGACGTTGCTCCTGAGATCGGGTTTGTCCTCTGTGCACGCAGTGTGGTTCTGGAACATGCTCGGAACGTGATTGGGCATAAGGTTCTGGGTGGACGGCTCTGACCGGAGGGTGACTGCTTGAGATACTTTCGTGGACTTCGGCTTAACGTTTCACGTGTTTCGGATCGAGTGACGCAGTGTAAGTACATTGTAATATCTCTATTAACACCGGGTGAACGCATGCTTTCACTTGTACCGAGTACGCGAAGGTCAAGTTGACTTTGCACAGCCATGTCTCGCTAGCGAGGCAATCGTGTAACTGGGTGGTTCGACGACTTCGTCAAAGAGAAGGGTAATAGGGACATCGAGAGCTTTAGAATACCTATTGACCCAGCCTTCCCAACAAAGGAGCCCTACCCCTAGCAGAATGATGGCTTCATGAGAATACGGTATTCCACAAACTCCTCGCCGTCAATATGTTGATTGTGCCTTGCAATACAAGCTTTCCCGCAAGTGGCCCAGTCGCCATACGCTCGTGCTCGATATTATGATCGACCTTGGCGTCATGCGGGCAATTCCTAATTCGAATAGCCTCCTGTCGGCCCCAGATCACATTCAACCGCTGCATATCGTCGGATTCGTGGAAAAGAATCCTGCCATTAGTATGGTGGTGATGGCCGATGGGCATGTTGAAGGTAGCGGCCACTGCGCCAGCAACAGCCCGCTCTCTGTGCGTCGCATGACGGTCAGCTTGCCTATGGGCAGCTTCGTTTCGACCAATTTCGGCGCGCTCGAAGGTGTTAGTTTATTCTTCAAACTCAACGCTGCGAAGTCGGCTGACGCGCAATTCGTTATCGCTGTGAAAAGCTCGGCTAGGTCGCAGTTCAGTTCGGCGAAGTTCGTGACCACCATATCCGTGTCGTCTGTTCAGGCGATGATTAACTTGGTTTTAGGGAGGGTTGATCAGGCGGCAATGGTTTAATCGCCGTGAAACCAACGCCCACTCTTCTACGCTCAAGGTTTAGGCGAACAGAGGTTTAAGTGTGTCTTGGCATTTCAGCCCCGAACGCAATAGCAGGTGGCTGCAGCGGAGTCTCGGATGTTGAGTTTTCCTTGACTCGACGTATTGCTTCTTTAGCAGCAGCAGTTTCGGCAGCCATACGCTCCTCCTCCGTCTCCTCAGGCACAACGTTGGATCAAAGGCGGGTGTATTTTTCACTTGGAACTGGTCCAAGCCAACCAGATGGTCAGAAAAGTCGACACGTTCAAATGTCACCCAGCTCCCACCTGGACCAGGAGGTGGGGATGTTAAGCTGGATGCGGGCTCAGAGACGATCCCTAACGTCGATGAAGCCAATAACGGCGTGCTTCTTGTCGTCGTCAGGAACATTAGAGTCTCTCCATGTTCCAAGAAGAACACCCTTGGCCCCGGGAACACCCAGACTCTGGCGAGTGGGCTTTAACTTGTTTAAGCTGGTGGCCGAAGTAGGCGAATTTTGACCGGCGGCATCAGCGCCGTCGAGCTTGCTTTGACTTCAATTGTTGCGAATAGAATAGTGTTGAGCCTGGGCTGAACGAGAATTTGCAGACTTCGTTGACGCGCCTTCCATCACTTCGTCTTCGTTTGCCTCGAATGTGTTGCTTCTGTCAGCCGGTTTCTGGCCTCCCCTCATACCATGGCCACCGACCACAATTGTGTCCTCAAGCTCGCTGAGCGTAAACTTGCTATCTGGGTCGCCTAATTGACCCTCGCCCTCGTCGTCCTCAGGGCTTACCGCCGCCATGTTTTCTGGATGGGTTGGTTTCGTGGGAAAGACTGTTCTGTTGCTTAGGTCCATGAGCAGAGAGTTCTTCTACCGAAGTTTCTAATGCAATTTCTTTAATGGTAGGTGGACGGGATGGCCGGCAAACACAAAGGAAAGCAATGTGCTTGCGTGGTTTCTTAACCTGATTCCGAGGTTAGAAGCATTCGCAGGTGACCGCAGTTCAGATCTTACAAATCGACGAAAGCTACTAGCGCAACCTCACACACCACTATTAGGCTCTACGGGCAAACGCTGCATGGATGTTAGCTTTGTGAAGCATGACTTCGCATATAAGCCCAATTCTAAAGAGAACCAATATCGGTGGTCACATGTCCTTGTGCCTGGTGAGCTAAAAAGCAACCCGGCTGCCGATATAGCGTCTATTGCATGGATTGACCTCGCAACGTATGCGAGAGAAGTACTCGCAGCCCAAGATACCCGGCGTTTCGTCTTGGGGTTTACTCTCTGTGGGTCTCTTATGAGGGTATGGGAGTTCGATCGACTTGGGGGAATCGCTTCGGACCAATTTGACATCCATTAAAGTGGACTACGATTTGTGACTACGGTCCTTGGATTTTTATGGATAAACGAAGAGAACCTTAGGTTTGACCCTATAATTATGGCATCCGCTAGTGGACGGTATATTAATATCCAACGAAACGGCCAGGCAGAGCGTCTTATCATTGACGGGCTCATGCAGCGTGCACGATGTATCGCAGGGCGAGCGACAACTTGTTGGAAAGCCCACCGTGAAAATGACCCTAACACGCCCTTAGTTATTAAGGACTCTTGGCAATATATTAACCGGGACGAAGAGGGTGAATTACTTTAAGAGGCCACTAAAAAGAATGTGATTGGCGTTGCACGGTACTACTATCATGAGACTATTCGCATTCGCCGTACTAAAGATAACGTTCAAAATAACGTTCGAAAAGGGCTGGACATCACTAAAGCTACGAATTTCCAGCTAAACCGAACATTATTGCCGTCAAGCGCGGGAGGAACCGCGTCCAGAACGTCACGCAAAGGGCGGAGCAGCAGTTCCGGGGTGAAGCGACCATCAAGTGAAACTAACGCTGCTTTGCCCCCGAGCAAGCGGTCTTGTTCAGCATCTCCAATAAAAGCAAGTGTTATACCACTAAACCAAATACACCGACGGGTTATCCTTCAAGACTATGGGAAACCAATCTACGAAGCAAGCTCTCTTGCAGCGCTACTAACTGCGCTGGAAGGCTGCATTCAAGGTCACCAATCATTGTACAAAGCAGGCTTTCTCCATAGAGATATCTCAATTAATAACCTGATGATCAATGAAGACAATGAAAATCCCTCTAGGCGAGCTTTCTTGATTGACCTTAACCTTGCTGTTAAGGTCCAACGAGAAAAGGTCTCGGGAGCCAACAGTAAAACAGGCACGAGAGCATTCATGGCTATTGGCGCCTTTTTGGGGGGACAGCATTCTTTTTTGCACGACCTTGAATCGGTCTTCTGGGTGTTTTTTTGGATATGCATTCATTATGATGGGCCAGGCAAGGAAATTGGTCCAACTGAATTTGACAGTTGGAACTACGAGAAGGACAACAAGCTAGTCCAGTCAAAAGTCGGCACAATTGAGGATGAGAGTATATTTCTGAGGTTAGCGGAGGAGAATTTCACGCCATATTATCGGCCCCTGATCACTTGTATTAACCGGCTACGGAAAAAAGTATTCCGTAATGGCAAGACGTGGAAGAAACCAAATTCAGCATTGTACTCTTGGATGTCGGATATTCTTCGGGAAGCCCGCACCAGGACATAATTACTCGCCTCCCTTCCCTCTTTTAGGGAAGAAATTGACAAGTTACAGTTTGACAAATTCGCTCAGCATTGAATCTCTTTCCGTTTATCCTTGTCATTTCATCATGAAGTTTCTCCTTTGTGTAGCTTTAGCCGCTCTAGCAACAGCTACTCCTGTTCCCGGCCGCAACGATGCGAGGCGTGAGTTCCCTCCCACATAATACATTGAATCACGAGACATTCAAGACGGCTTACAATGCTACAGACATGGCCCGCAACCCACAATTTCAGGTTTGCTTGAGCACTCTACCTTGGCCCTTCTAGGAGCTGATTGAGTCTGCATAGCCTTTTAGGGCCGACGACGGCGCTCCTGGGGCTATATGTTATTTAAGAGTGGTAAAGCCGGGGCAGTTTCAGCGGGTGCTCATCCTGCTGTACCATGTATTAGGTCCAGTATACATGGCCATGCTGTAAACATCCATAGCAGTACGTTTGTGGCCACTTAGTGATTCCTAGCTTAATATTGCTTCTTGCGACATGTTGCGTACTCTGTATTCTGGACTGTGTGATAACTCACTTTGCTCTGCTCTGTGCCGTGTGTTTGTGATGGGGGCAGTCAGACGATACAACCGCAAGAACGTCCGTGGGACAGTATGACTGTTTTTTTGCTTGTCTTATGTCATGTGCTCATTTGATTGCATGAAAGCGTAGGTCAAATCCCCCCAAGAGGTGACATTGGCTTACGAAGTTTCAGTAACTTTTCAGCCATGTGCAGGTGAACAAGTAGTTTCCAGTGCTGTATAGTAGTAGCAAGGACAGGATAGCACGCCAGGATACTACATTCCCCCTCCCACTAAGCTCCGCAAGCAACTCCCATGTCTTCCACAAGTCCAACTATAAGCTTGAACTCTGTTACACGGCATCGCTGCTGGGACCGGCCGTTGAACCTGACGATAGTCACACAAGGGTTTGAGAAACAATTGGAGCCTTGGGCCCCGAGCCCTCACTGATGGTTTGTATAAACAACGGCCTTTTGCCCCATGAGCCTTGACAGAACTAAAAACCGTTGATAACAGAGACCGTTTATCAGAACGAACCAAATCTTTCTTCATAGCACTTACATCTTGACCCTTACTACATCTTGCCCCAAGTGTCACAAGATGCAGCTACAAGTTTTTCCTGTTTCTCTCCTCCATCCTTGGCTTTGTCTCCTGCGTAATGATTAACTACCCTGCGACGGGGAAGTTCCTCTGCCAAAGTATGGTCCAGATTGAAGCTACAGTCATTTCGCCATCTCACTTGCCAAGGCCAGGTTAGCACACAATTTTCCGTAGGGGATGTTAAGCCACCGGCCTAGTATACCGCCACTTGCATTCTCAACGGCACTCATGCTGGCCCCCATGGCGACCGTGAGTTCTCACCATTACTACGGCGATATGCTAATAACACCTTGTAGCAACGAGATACTCCAGGATATTCCGGAATGAAGAAAAACCAAAGTTCAACAGTAAATGCAACAAAACTGCGGGTGTTTCCCTGCTTGAGTTCCCCATTCTGGTGCCTTGAGCCTGTACCGACTCGTTTACGAAAAGGCGAGTCCCGTCGGAGCAAGGTGAGTGGGAGTTTAAGCCAGCACCTACCATTCTATGTGGGTAGAGCTATAGGCTAAGATTCCATGTTGATAGGTTCTGCGGCATGATAGTTCATCCCTCGCCCAATAGCAATAATTTCCGTCTGTGCCCCTGGACCATATGAGATGCATGTACACACGCGCTGGAGCTAAAATGTAAACACCAATTTGATTCATTGGACCATGAAGCTCGCTCCAGCTGGACTTGAACCTGGTTTTCATTTGATGGGCTGTCCCGGGGGGGGGGACCCCGTTAGCATAGCCCTAAGTCGTGAATTGAAGGGTTTATTACAACAAGACCCGTGAAATTGTTAATGTATATGGGATTCTCATGTCTAGTTGTTTCTCTGTTCTAGAGGGCGTTGAAGATCTGATACACAAAGGACGTACTGTCAAAGCAGCGGATGGTCACTCAGCATCTACAAGTAAAAGCAGGCCCGCTCGGATTTAGTTGATACTTGCATACACACCGACTGCTCTCGCTTTCGCAGGACGGGTTAAATAACTCTCCGACCCATCAGATTGCCTGGCGTAAGCATGCTGACCGAAAGTGATACAGGTTTACTCGTCACATTTTCCCGTACGGCTTCGCTATGGCGGGCCTCTCGTATATCGCCAATGGCCAGACTATCAAGAGTAAAAAATTTGGTGTTCAATCAAGGCAAAGTGTGACAGAAAGCTCGTGTTTTGACACGCTACTGAAGAATCTAAAGACCTGGAGAGATGACGCTAGTAAAATTTAGTGCGGCTGATTATTGCCAAACTGATATGTCACATAAGAGAACACCCGTGTTGTGGAGTTGATAGCTGGTGCCCATTGCCGATCTTTCGAGTCTAAGCTTATGGCATCGCGCAATGTCACAATGTTCCGGTGCTGACCTGTGTTTTGCAGGCGAAAGTGCGGGCTGGGCAGCTCGGAATGTTGGAGCACTAAGCCTCATTTTATGTTACTGCTGAAGACGACCAAGCAAACAGCTGACTGCAAAGGATTAGGTCTTTTGGCTCGTGTCGCCACATCTTTTCGACAATATGTGGTTGGTTGGTTCATGGCTTTGGTGCTTGTTTGCTCGCGGTTTTTGGACCAGAATCGGATTGGTTAGGGTGCGTTACACCCGCTTGTGCCTGGATCGTTGGAGATGATGTTTCGGATACCGGAAAATGCGGAATCCAGTGAGTGTAGGGCGTGTGTGTGCATTTCGTCTTGAGCTTGGAGGTGCCAGATCAGGACAGCCCACACGCTCGGAGAAGTTATGATACGGGGCGTGAAGATATACTTGGTCATAATCATCAGCACATCAAAACAGTCAAGAGGTGAATTTAGCACCCCAATTCTATTTTTCGTTTTGCCCTAGCAACCATAAAGGCAGAAAAACAGTCATTGACCTGGCGTCCTGCACGGGGATTCCAGACCAAGCGCCTGCAGGTAAACCTCCGAAAGTGCTCCCTACATGGTGTCAGCTCTTCTCGTCGTAGAAGAGTGTGAAAACGGAGGTGGATTTCTGCATGGGCATGTTCTAGAAACCCATGAAACAGGCAGAGGTTGCAACATTGAATGCAAGCTAATCTTGACGAGCGCAGGGCTAGACCAGGACCCCTGTGGGTCTATACACACGAATAACTGCTCACACGGCTGACCGAGCATGAATTCATCAACGGAAGCCGTGGAGCTGCTAGCAAAGGATGCATGAGCCTCGTGACCGATATAAAATTGGAGTGTTGCAGATTGTAGTTTCTGCGTTGTCGGCGATTGGGGGGGGGGACGAGCCGCCGGCCAAGTACACGCTTGTCGTTGCTTGGGTGAAACAGCAAAAGGGATCCGATGTCTGTTCAGAATCTGATTGTCAGCTGACGCCCTGGCATGGACACAGTTATGTCCGGAAATACCGTGGTGGATTTGGAACGTGGTCCCGCATGCAGAGCGGCGGAGCAGCTGTGCGCTGCGACCGGAGGCGAATGAGGGAGGCACCGGGGGCGGAAGCTTGCGCGAACGCACTGATCGAGCTTAAGCTCACGATGGAATCTCCAGACGTCGAACAATTGATGCGACATGCAAGTTAGCTCCTCGTTTGCAGGCGAAAAGAGTCCGACAGACTGTCCCCAACTAGGAAAACCGACGGGCAAACGACGGGTATAACGATAGTTGCGCCACTGGCATTCCCACATGGACGTTCTCGGCCCCCATGGGCCAAGCGGTCCAGATGTCGCCTCAAGTCTTGAGGGCGCACGATGTGATGCGGTGCGATGGCGGGCGGCAGAGTCGAGGGCGAGGCGCGGATCAGGCGTGGCAGCTGACGGTGTGGGTTGGCGGACGAGTCGGCTCACCTTCCTGGCTTCCTGCGCGTCGTGGGGGGTCGTGGGCTGCTCCTGCCCGTATTACCCAAACAGGTAACTCGAGCCTTCCCCGGAATCTGCGGGGTAGTTAACTCCCTTGCAACGCCCTTGTAACGCCCGCGTCAACCGGCGGAGCCTGTCTACTGGGCAGGCGCTCACCGGGTCCTGCAGCAAACCGCACGGCTCTGCACCTGCCCCAAGGCACGGCAGCATCGACGGTTTGACACCCGCAGTGTTTGGACGCCTGTTCCTGCCTGATCATCCCTGGCAGTTGACCACTTCGGCTGCTCACAGCTGCGGGCAGCTGTCCCCAGCCATATACGGCCGTTAACGGCAATGCTTTCTTTGATCAAGCCCGTTCACGCACTCCTGCCAATGCGGCTGCTTACTGGCCTAAGATCAAGCTCCAACTGTCAACGGGTTATCCCAAAATGCAAGTCCATGCATCAGACATTGGCAGTGTCCCCACCTCCCGAATCACAATTTCGTTCCATCTCGACTTGGCTGCATGACCCTTCTGGCTTCGGATTAGGTCTGACCGAGCAGCTTGTTACTGCGGAGGTACCGACGACGTCCACACAACGAGATCCCTTAAATAGCCACTCTCTGCCCTACATTCATTAACCTAAGTGCTCTCCTTTCGATACCATATGATACTACGTTGTTCTGCAAACCAGGCTCGACTGACTGCTCCTCAGAATACATCAGAATCAACCATTCACAATGGCAACCACGACGGCTACCGCCGACACGACTCTGGTCGGCACTATTCGTGCCACAGCTGTCTCTGCACCCCCTCCTCGGCAGACCATGAAGGCTGTTCGCTTCCACGGCAAACGTGACATTCGTCTTGACACTATTGCTGCCCCCAAAGTCGGCCCTGGAAAGGTCAAGATTGCTCCCAAGTTCTGCGGAATCTGCGGATCAGACCTCCACGAGTATCTTGGCGGAGCCAACCTGATCCCCAAGCCTGAAAGCCCACACCCCATCACCAACGAGACTTTCCCTCTTACCCTTGGCCATGAGTTTTCTGGTATTGTCCAGGAAGTCGGCGAGGGCGTGGAGTCTGTCAAGCCTGGAGACCGTGTCTGTGTTCAGCCTATCATCTACGACGGGGACTGTCGCTCTTGCGTCAGAGGACTTGTCAACTGCTGTGATCAAAACGGTTTTGTTGGCCTCAGTGGATGGGGCGGTGGCTTGTGTGAGACCATGGTTGTTCCCGACTCTTGTGTCAAACAGCTTCCCGACAACGTTTCACTCGAAGAGGGCGCTCTCGTTGAGCCTCTTGCTGTGGGCTGGCATGCCGTCGACATTTCCCCCTTCAAAGAGACCGACAGTGTCCTGATCCTCGGTGCTGGTCCCATTGGCCTGGCCGTCGTACAGGTCTTGGTAGGACGCGGCTGCAAGAACATCATCGTCACTGAAGTCAGCAGCAAACGAAGAGATTTTGCAACCCAGTTCGGAGCACACCACACCATTGACCCCATCAATGAGAACATGGTAGAAAGAGTGGAGGAACTCACCGGTGGTCTTGGTGCAGACGTTGCTTTTGATGCTGCCGGTGCTCAAGCTGCCCTCGACACTGCGTTTGACGCACTCAAGGCCCGTGGCACTCTGGTCAACATTGCTGTGTGGGAAAAGCGAGCCAACTTGGCCATGAATGGGCTTGTTTTCCGCGAGAGAGGATACATGGGAGTGTAAGTACTCGTCCACTGGCACACATCGATTCGTTTGCTAATGTACAATACAGTGCTACCTACAGTCTCGGAGACTTTGAGGCAGTTTTGGACGCAATTTCGACTGGTATGTAACCCATTTCACTGTGATGCTTAGGCAGTATCCTGCTCAAATGGTTAACGTTTGCTCCAATAGGCAAGATAAAGCCTGCCAGCATGATTACCAAAACCATCAAGCTAGACCAGGTTGTCGAGGAAGGCTTTCACGCCCTCATCAATGATAAAGAAAACCAGGTCAAGATTCTTGTCGATGTTGGTGCCGGTCTGTCCACCTCTTCATAAACGGATTGCTGGCCAATCACAATGTATGACCTTTTTTAACGAAAAAAGGACGACGGAACTCAGGTTCCAAACCATGTACAAAAGTATTAGCCTGTAGTAATTATTACCCCTTTAATTCATATGAATGTTTAATGCATATTCAAGACGACGATGAGCGGTGACTTCTCGTTCCCATTAACGACGAAACTTCTGGGAGCTGTATCGTTCAAAACCACCTCTTGCGAAATTGGGCAAGGTATCATGCCAGCGGCGTCTTTGACAGAAACCACTAAGGAGGTGACATTTCTCGAGATACAACGTACTGCCAGTGGCAGAATATATTTGCCCACCAACAAGTATACGCCAACAAACTATAATGCATTACATTATACAGCTCGATAACCAGGTACCTCCTATGCTTAAAATACTCTTTACCTCCCATTGTAGTAAATATTCAAAGAAAGGTTGTTATCGAAAATATAAGTGGGTGTGGTGCTGTTCAATTATATCGTGCTCTCTTTGTGACAAAGGTATCCATATCACGAGAGATGTTGTAAGGTACTAACTCAAGAAAGTTTTTGCTGGAACAAATGCCGCTAACGCTGTCATATAAGTTCAGAGGGCCACTCTCTGCGTCGTAATGGACTCTTCAAAGGCATCCGTGTCTCTACGTACTTGCTTGAGGTCTCCTTCGTGCACCATGTCCAAGGGGTGCAGGTCACACGGTTACACGAGAGCTACGGTCACGAGACTAGGGCATGAGGCACTCACCGACTTCTTGTATAAACAGAGCTCTTTCATCTACCCAAGCCTTTTCAAAACTCAAGACTTTTATTACCAAAGACTGTTAGTAGATGAATTGAGCTACGACTCCAAGGCCTCACTGAGCCCTTGTCACAGGGCCGCCGGGCAGCGATGGCGGCGTGCATAACGGCCAAATAAGCTAACTCAGCACGCCGGATAGCTATACAAAGGGACTGAGTCCTTGTGATCTGGGGACTCGTAGTGGTATGGATGCCACGATAAAGGTCATTTCGGTGGTGGTGCTGGTAGTGGTAATGGGATGGGATGAATGATGAAAGAAAAATTTATCGAGCTCGATAAAACTATCAGAGAGACTTCTTGCGCTTGTCGAGGAATCTTATGGAAATTTCTTCCGGGGAAAGCTACCTGTTCGTCCCATCAGGTAGGTGGGTTATATCGTTTCTCCCCGGAGCAACGCACTCGCAGTAGGCAGTCTTATTGACATGGAAACGTCTATCCTCAAGTCCCTACGCGCGATTGTGATTCCATCTCCAGTTTCTGTTGTAAAATTAGCGGCGATGAGTCGGCCAAGAAAGTATACGTCGAGAATTTATCACGAGTTTGGATGTAAATTGATTGCAAGATGGTCAATTCGTCTCCTAAACAGGTCATCTTTCAAGCCTTCAAATATGAATGCCGTTATCCGCTTTAGGCCTTTCATATCTCCTGCCACTGTTCCCGCCCTTATCAGCATCAAGCCAGCCATGCGTGTAACCATCGTCGAAATTTGTTATCCAGGCGTTATTTTCTTCGTCCATCAGAACGTCATCAGGGTTAGCATCGCCCCAAACACCGCTGATTCTGTGTAGCTCGTACACTGCTTTTCCGACTTGTGCTGCCCATTTATCCCCCAGTACCTGTCCAGGATCATCCTCACGAGGAGCCCTGCGATGCTTGATACAGTGTAGCAGCAAACCCACTGTGCTGTCGTGCCAGGGCTGTTGAGCTATGCCAACGAGGCGGCCGACAAAAACGTCCGCACCTAGATCAGACTGGTGGATTCTCTCGTACACATCTAATTCCCTGCTGAGGGGACCGTCCGTTATGCCAAGCCCGAAGCCTTGAAGAAACACGTCGTCTTCTATCAGGAGTCGTCCAAGCAAACGACCACTTTCATGGGCATTCTATCTAGCGCATGCTCTGGATTTTCAAAACAGCCTTCGATCCCCGAAGGGTCGAGGAACCGCGCCCATGTCTCGAGATGGGCGAAGGTGTCGTCGTCAAGCCACGTTCGACAGGGGGCCAGGCCGCCCGTATTATCAGTGTGTCGCGGGATGAAGATTTTATCCACAGCTTCTAATCTGCAGCTAAATGTTTCCAGAAAAAGGTATTTGATAGGACGAGTGGGGCCTCGCCAGAGCGGATTTTGTCGGGGTCAAAGGAAGCAAGCGGCGTGGGGGCCAATTGTCGGAAAATTGGCATGAATAAATTAATAGCTCATTCGTAGACTGCTCGTCAAGAATGTCTTCGAGCTCCCCTGGACAATGTCTCCAGATATTTTATATACAAGGCTGTTGCTTTTGGCGAGCTGTGGAACAAACGCGGCGACATGTGAAGGCAGAAACACCGGCCGTCGTACCTGACCGGGATGGTGCAATCGTCGTCAACGGCGCCGCTGGTCAAAACAGAAATAGCCTTTTCTGGCCATTTGTGCAAGATAGCTTGGCTGCCAACGGAGCCCATGGTCGGTGAGAGTAAATGGAAGATGCGGGTTGAGATGCAGTAGAAGGATGGAAACAGAAAATGCCGAAGCGCTCGTCGACAAGGCGGACCCAGGAGTGGTCGCTTGGGCGTTGCAACCGGGCCTCTAAATACGCATGCTTGTTTATAGCACTATTTAGTTATACCATTCGTAAAATTAAATAAATTCGATTATTCTTAATATACGAATAAAATATATCTTTTTCAGTTATGAAATTATATTTTATCACCTAGGTACTTTAAAGACTCTTCAGGGCGAGTAGCGACTGTGAAATTAAACAAATACAGCTAGGCTATGTGGTGCATCCTTCCTTATTAGGACTAACGCGATATGTTTACTTGCCTCCAGTTGATTTGTGAGGTATGCACGCCACCGCCACGCCGCAGACGTCGCTAAGCCATCGTCTCTTAGCTGGTATGTTCGTTGGCGTAGAGTGGGCGACGGGGGAAAGAAAGAACAATAGGGAGATTGGAAGGGAAGACAGGCAACCAGACAGGAAAAGAAGCAACATGGAGGAGGGCAGCGCGTGGCCCTGGATGTGTGACAAGGGCTCAAGGCGTCAGGCAGCCCCCTGTATATCCAATCACGTCGTCGAGTAGTACATACTTATCCACTTTAATTGCAGAGGCGTGTTGTGGTCGTTGGACATCAACTCCAGTTCCAAGAATCCACACCAACCTTGGGCAACAGTGCAATGTAAACTTCACATGCGCCACCCCCACGCCCGGGGTTGTCGTCTTCCGATATGCATGCAACTGCCGAAGAAAGAATTTGTGTTGAGGCGCAGACCCGCGCGTAGGCTGCCTGTATGTCACACCATGCTTCGTCACACCTCTTTGGCGAGCCTTTTGCCATCTAATAATTCTTACACGCTCACGAGTACCTTGACGACTATCATATCGCTCCTGTTTGGTGTGTCCCCTTTCTGTTAGAGAACACAGCCGACCTGCAGGAGAAGGTAGTCTAGCTTCAAATGAACCATGACGAGAGTTTAATCTGCCACTCCTCAATGAGAATTTCGAACCATTCATCCTTTTGGAACATTTGCTAATCTCCGGAACCATACGCTCCAGAGTCCAGCGGTCTCCATAAGCGAGGCCTCTAGAGACGGAAGTGGGTGTTTGGTAAACATACCTGATCTCCGGGGCAAAGTCACCTCGAATCTTTAGGCAAATATTCCATCAGTTACGACTTGCTGCTAGACAGGATATTGTCGATGAAGTGGCGCCCATGTCCAGTGGGCTTAGCCGGGATTACGGCCAGCTTACAGTTGCTGTGGCTCTTTGTTCCTCGGGGCCACTGCAATCCCATCATATCGGCAGAGACGTCTAAAAAAATGACTATCGTTGTTCCGGCCCGTACAACCAACCACGACGATGTCCGGATCGTCTGTACGCCCTCGACGTGGAAGAATAATGCAGGCTTCTTCCTGGGGAACTACGTTGCCCACGCTGCTACCGTAAAATCATGCCCTGGCCAGATGACTCTGGCAACCGTCTATCTAATAATACAGCTTTGCGGCATTTGGGCTCACCGTCATGCCATACTTGGTCATGTCTTTAATGAATTTGTTGGCCGCTATCCTTTCGGCTGACTACTCCACGGTGTTCCTTGTGAAATCGAGTGTCATGGATGCGGCAAGCCAGGACGGTGGAAAATTTGACGGAGTGTTAGCATCAATAGCGGACCGTGAGCCATCGGGGCCTGAGCTATGTCGCCGTAGGAATGAAGATAGAAGCAATGCCGATCTTACATGGCCTGAATCCTATGGATTGGCCAACCACATCGAGGGAATTATCACACACTACTCCTACTCTCTATTCGCGGCATGTCTTTCTTTCATACCTTATGGGGTAATATCAGTTTTCCGCACCGGCCAAAGTTCCGCAGCACAGCGCGGTTAGACAATGTCATGGTTAGCGCTAGGAATCTTCAGTGAGCCGATTTCTCGAACCACGTTATTTGTTCGAAATCTTCTTGTGTTTAACCCATACAGTTGTTTCTCAATACTTTTCAATCTTTTTGTATTAGTTATGCCTGTGGCTCTTACTGTACCTGCCATTGGCGGCTCCGTTGTCGTCGGTCGAATGTTGAACGACTACGGTAAATGCGTGCGGCTGTGGTAAGCTCTCGAAGAGACGGTGGTGCGGTGCTAAGAATCGGCCGTTATAGTCAGTCAGTATAGCCAAAATCTTAGACATGACATGAATGAGATTTCCAATCAAGTCAAACAGCCCCAGTTGCCGTTCCTTTGATGCGAACTCCTCGTTGATAAGGACTCCCGCACAGTTGTAACCTAGCCACGGAGTTCAAGATCAGCATTTTATGTTCAGGGCAATTTGCTAGGGCCTTACCACCTCAAGATGGCGTACAAAACTCGGGCAATTTTTTCATCAAGTCTCGTCCTCACCTATTTTGAAGCTGCGGAACGAGAGTAATGGTGCCTACGTACATACTGCCTAGATATGGGATAGCGCGTGGTCAAGCTAGCCTAATAGGATAATTTAATGTTCATAGTACATGTTGAAGGAGTAGAAAGACAAAGAAAAAGTAAGATGTAGTGAAATAAAAAGACGAAAAAAATTAGGTAAACGACACGAACTACAGAAACATGGATATGAAAATGGTGAGTGCATTTACTCATTATCTGGAAAGACTATTTGTCGCAGGAACTAATAAGAAGGCAACCACTACTACACAATTTTTAGCATCAATCTCAAATACTCAGAGTGCCCTTTGAAAGTCACTAAGAATCTTATTTACCAGCCTAATCCCCCCCCCCGGGTGTATCGTTTTCATTACGGAGCTAACCCTCGGAAATACCTAGATCAAATTCAATTTCCTAATCGTACCCTCTAGCAATGTTTCAATTCCTAGTCCTCGAACAAATTTCTTGAGAAGTCATTCAAGAAACGAACGAAGCCTAAGCCCCTAACAAATCATGCATCTAAGATAGTCAGCAACCGTGATGTTCCAAGGTTTCCCTGACTCAACTCTTTAGACGCCCAGAAGAATGAACCACTATTCTTGATGTCGACATGTCGTTACCAGTTCTGAGTTACAGCCGAGGCATGTCAGAACGAGCAAGCTGTTTGCACTATCCTGACGTGACGGCCGTGGCAAAACCAGCAGGGCTGTTGTTGTCACCTAGTTCCTTTCAATGGAGTTGCGACAAATCGGGCAAGTATTATGTTGTCGCAGCCACAAGACGATGCAGTTCGCGTGAAACCAATGCTTACACGGAAGGAATATGACTTTGTGGCGTATCTGCATCCTATCTTTGCAAATCGGGCAGTCCATGCTTCCTTCAGTTCGAAGGAGGTCCCGGTCCACGGTTCTCCGCCTCAAGTTGCGGATGGCTTCTGGTGATGCCGGCGGAGCAGGTCCTGGCGCAGGCGATTGGTCACGCGACGCTGGAGAATGGACGCCACGGCTGGGGGTGCTCGATCCGCGTGATGGGCTATGATGCCTCAGCGAGCTTGTAGCAAAGGACACCGTCAGTTTCTCGGCTCAAAACGACAGCAGTCAAGAGGCGTCAGGCGCCTGGTGTATAGCGCATGCGGCTGTCTAGGGCTGAGGATACTTACCGTCGAGAGGGGAGAACATCATCACCGTGGTAAGTGCGCTCTTCATACGCAGGGCTTCTATGGCTGGTCCTTTCAACCTCCAAGGACATGGGTCCATGGCCAAGCACATCGCCTAGATTGATGCGCGCAAGTTCATGGGATAGGTTGTTCAGAAGTGTCGATGAGTGTATGCCTTCATTTCGGCGATGCTGCCCAACGTGAACATGTGGACAATGATGTACATGATGCATGCCAGGTGGATGACCCGGGTAGTATGTATAGCCGAACAGGCCTGCATCTTCTCCCATATGGGGCTCATGGGCCTCCGAGTTGCCAGCGAGTGACGGTAGGAGTTGTGGCAATCTGGGGTTGGATGCAAAACGCGAAACTGTCGCCTGCAACGGGTACAATCAGCCTGATGTACTAAGAGCACATTCAAGGTACATGTAAGCAAACCGTTGTCTCGAAGTCGCCATGTCGATGCAACAAGCCGTGATGGACGTCGTGCCGATGGCCATGGCTGGTGAGACCAAAGACCGACTCTGGGTGGAAGTCAATATCGACGGTAGTGCTGCGAATGCATGGACAATGACTTCGAGAACGCCTGATGCAGACGCATCTGCAGACGCATGGTTGAAATTCCCGGGTCCAAGACCTTCTCCGAGACAAGCAAGTCGGGCAGCAGGTATTGCACATTGAAACAGAGCTAGAGGCAAAGCAAGTCAGCAAAAGGACTCATCCAAGTGTATCATTAAGCACATATCGCTTACCAACGTGAGCGGCCGAGAGTGATGAGCAGTTGGGCAGTTGGGCAGAGGGGTGCTTGCGTGTGGCAAAGGTTTCAGTCCCAGGGGGTGCGGAGAAGCCAAATAAATACCGGAGAGACTGTACGTTAAACGCATATGCATTTACTGCTCACTGGTCGACTTTTCTGGCAAGCATGAGCAACAAGGCTGAGGGCTGATGGTCTTGAGAGGGGGAAAGCTATCCTTGTAGGCCCTGGCAGTAGGTATCACAACGTCGAGCAACCTTGTCCTGGCAGCCGGCCACGTCACTCGACGACCATTTGTCCACGTTTGAAAGCCCAACATACGGAGTGCTTTGACAGTATACCTTCAGTCTCTCGGCAGCGCATCATGGTCTTCCTTGGGAAGAGAGCTTGGGAAACGGGCGTGGAAAACGAGCTAGACACCGACCGAAATTCTCCACTCACGGCGCCGCGACTCGGCCCCGACCAGCCACTACAGGCCGCCCTGCCGTCCAAAAGGGGAAATGCACGAGTCCCATGTCTGGTAAAATGCGGCCCCACAGCCGTGGCATTTTATAACACAACGGGTACCGACCTAGGTACCTTGGTAGTTTGCCAGGCCAAGCACCTAGGTATCGCGGTCTAGATTCTAACGTACTATAGTATGCTATAGAATTTTCGTGTACATTGGTGTATACTTGGCAAGCAAATATATTCTGCTACTAACCATATCTACTCGTCACTGGCTGGTGGAGTCATCTGTGGCTGCGTAAAAGTCATAAAAGACACGGCAGCTCACCAAGGCGGAAGAATTGGAAGAAAATCCATCTCCTTCCTGCCAACACCGTACGTACTCTCGCATGATTCTTAGTTAATCCTTAAACTAATGGTGGGCAACATAGGCTGCGAAGCTCCGGTTCTGCTCCTCCTCAGGCTCAATCACAGGAGCCGTACGTTTATGTTTGGAGGAAGGAGTAGCTTTTCTATACGTTTTCACGAGCGGTGTCACAGAAGCTGGCCGAGTTTACGCCGCGGTAAATAGCAGTTTTTACACAGGAACGGCGTCGACTAAGATAATAACGTTCTCGGCAAACAGTGTCGATCTTTAAACCCACGAATCTTGTTTCCGCATGTGAGACACTTGTGGACACGGCAGAAAAAACAGAGCCCGTGTAGCAAAAAGGTTGATTGAACCCAAGTTGCACTCCGCGGGCACACTGCCACGAACTAGCTTTCACGGTCACAACAAGGCCTTTGCCTCATTCCCTGTAATCATCCTGAATGCACCTCCATCCCATCTACCATCGGTCAAAGCTTGCGTAACCCCGAGACAGCCAGAAGTCATCGCTGGGCAACAGAATTTCCCAAAGAGAATTGATTGGCAGCTAAAGTCAGACTTGGCGTGTGCTGCCCCTTACCAAGAAGAAAATTTCGAGTTAGAGCGGGACATCAGGCCAACCGGGCTGCCGGGGCTCCTCGACGCTTTTAACTTTCACCCTCATTTTGCCTTTTACACGAAAAAGAGTTACGGGGTCTGAAACTCTCGTGGAATTGCGTTACGGGCCGGGATAAGTGGCTCTAGGTATGGAAATCGGACGACGCTAGAGGGCGCCGACGGACGCCACACGACCAGCACACACTTTTCTCCTGCTATCTTGATAAAGCTAAATTCCACAGTGCACGCACGACCTATACATTAAGTTTCAATTTTCTTGAACTATGCAGATGGTCGTGCAAGCACTAACGAAGCAAGGCCCAGTAGAATAACACCATATGCCTGGCCGTACCCGAGCTAGAGAACCGTAATAGACCGTATCGTACATTATGAGCAATGGCTATATATACCTCAATCAAGTTTATTTCTCTTTTTCTCTTTGCTCACACTCTGCCAACCTCACAAATTATTAATTTGAACTCCCCAATCCAGTATCAACATGGCTGAATGGACAACCCTCCCCTACGATGTTCATCTCATCATACTAAACATGGCGTTTGCTCAGCTTACAGCACCCGAAGAGCATCAAGCAGTTGGAGGGCCTCTCAAGAGAACGCACGGCCTCATGCCCTCGCACGCCCTAGTTTGCAGAGACTGGTTCAAGTTTTTCGAACGGGAGACGTATCGCGCCATCTTCGTCACGCAGGCTTCCTTGGATAACATCTCCAGATTCACTCGCCGTCAACGCAGCATGGTACGCTACCTCTGGGTCAAGATTGACCTGTTCAGCTATGGCTGCCCCGACTGTGCAGTCGACAGCTTCCAGTCCCTCCCCCTACGGCGCAAAGTAAATGCATCTCTGATCGCTTACACCATCAGACGTACCCTCAATCTTCTAAGCTCCTGGGACACGGAGCAGGGACCCGAGGCTCCAGGACTTACGCTGGAGTTCAGTGCGTGCTCACCAAGCGACATGGAGCACGTCTTCCACAACGACCTGCATTTCGACACCAGCCCTTTTGACGTCGAGGGGCCCCTTGAACGGAATCGGCCAGACCTTTCGATTCTAGGACACGGATGGATTCGAGGACGAAGAATATTCCCTCATCGCCTAGCTTCCATAGACTTAGTAGCGGGTTTTTCCTCCATGCCTCTAGATGAATTGCCCGCGGTGCCAGCAGTCACAAACTTTGTAGTCCGCAGACAGACTCGCTGGCATTTTGGACCATCGGCACTAGCAAAAGTCGTCCAGAAGCTCCCTGGCTTGCGCCGCGTTCTTATCGAGTCATGGAGACAATTTCATTGGTTCCCACAAAAAGGCAGCTATCGCGGTGACAATGGTAGGTGGTCACTCTCTATATCTCTCCTTCCGTCTCGCTACTCTCTTATCTTTTTTCGGACTGTTACTAACCACCAGCTGTTGAAACAGACATCGCTACAACGCTCTTTGACTCTCTGCCAGACACCGTCCAGAGCCTCACCATGTTTGAAGACTTCAACGAGGATTACAACTTCATGTTTCATAAATTTCCGAGAGTTAGGGAATGGGACGCTCCTGCCGAGTTAGTTAGGACACCAGCAGTACTTGTTGGACGGGCATTGGCGCGAAGGAGCCAACGACTCCAAAGCCTTAACGCGTCATACATGGTTGACGCTCGGGACTTTTTTAGCGAGGCAGTCAAGCCAGGATATTCCTGGGATCACTTGACCGTGCTGTCTTTGACTTCTCGGCATTTAAACAGCTCGTCAGAAGATACGGTTATCCACCAAATGCTGGCAAATGCCGGCAGAGTCGCGCTGAAGATGCCGGCGTTGACGCGGCTGGACATTTGGAACGGCACAAAGGGCAACGTGTGCGGATTCCGGTACGAGGTGACTTGGAGACAGGCGTCCATCGAGTGGCACAGCAATCGGCTTCTCTCGCTGAGCGCCGACGTGGTGAGGGCCTGGGAACGAGCCGCGTACCGGCATACGGGCGGGGGCGGGCTGCTCGTGAAGGATCCTCGAATCGTGCGAAACAAGTACATTCGGTCTCACGCAACCGCAATGGAGATTCTTGGATTACAGGACCAAGTCCTTCATCCCGTGTCCTTTCGACAAATCGCCTGCGAGACGTCACGGTATTGGTTCAAGCACTACTAGGAGAAATAAGCGTGTCAAAACCGTTGCCGAATATTCTTTGGGTACCCCAGTTTCTCGGCTAGCTCATAGATACAAGTATATTGCCTAAGGATGGCCGCTCATTTTTTGGTTGAGTGATATCTATCTACGGTTCAAGCAGGCTTGCTCATTTCGAAACAAAGGAGCGAGACGCTAGAGAGGATTTTAATAGTAATGTAGGGGATGATTGGTTTAATGAGAAACATATTCTAATAGTCAACTAATCAAGCTGTAAAAGTGTATGCTAGATTATAAATGGTGTGTGATGGAATATTAAGGTATGCTGAGGTTCCCTACGTCGATTTAAAAGTGGCAAATACGTCATCTGATAATTACGTCATCAAATGAGCCATCTAGAAGATTCAAGTTAGGTTATACAGTTTGAACTAAGTTTCAAGGCTCAAACTAGAAGCCTGCTAGAAGCCTACTGGGCGCAGCCCTTCTTTCCATCGGAAATGTGCCATATTGGACGTCCAACTCAAAACATAATCTCAGTTCCTTCAATGGCTAAATCGGTCAAAGGCCAAGTCCACATTTAATTGAATCCCTAGCTGTCAATCGTGCCAAGAGTGCTTCTCCTGAGCTTGTGGATTATGTCGTGAGACTAGCTCTCTAATTAACGTACTACTTTTGATACATTTATCGTCATGATGCAAAAAACACCACACGCCTCGTTTTATAGAAACTAGCGGTATTGTAAAACGAACGGGATTGTAGTTGTGCCAGTGCAGAAGACGACATCTTTCAATGAATGCGAGAGTGCTCACTTTCTGCGTAAATGTAAGATACTTCTGCAACTTACTGAGGTCTTGTAACTGCTCAAAGATGCGGGTTTTCTACGAACCACTTCTTATTTCACTCTTCTAGTTATCACCATGAAATCATCATCTCCAACGCTCGAGAAACTAATTAGGAGCTCGGCATATTTAGAGCATTCACAGACTCGCAAAATGCTCAAACAGGGTCAAGAACCACTGTCGCAGATACCTGCAGCATCTTGTCGAACTTAGTTCCGAGGTAAAAATCTGTGAGTCTTTATTTTATCATTGCGCGTCTAGGCCTATACCATGACTGTAACGTATATACAAGAAGCAAAGAGCGACGCTGAGGGTAGCCAATGATTGTCTGAGATCTTCTCGGCGGCACATGTAGCCAGTTATTCCTCCTGTTATTTGCATGGAGCTAGGGTAAACTTCACACTTGCCGCCAGGCTGAGGCGATGCCTCGCTAGGTGCAAACGATTCTCAGAGTCTGCGCGCTCCTGCTACAAGCGCGACCTGTTTCAGTGCACTATGTTTATCACCAAATTAGCATGCCGTAATCGAAATGGCCTGTGGGGTGAATGGAGAAGCCACTGGCCAGGCATAAAGACTAGCAAGTTACAGGATGATCCTTGGGGCAAGTTACAACTTGGATCAATTCCGCTGGCTTTCCGTCGCGAAACTTGGTTCTGAGATTCGTTGTCTTTTTGTACGTACAGGTACCTTTACCCCTGTTTGTCTGGCACGTCTAGCGTCATAGGGTTGGTATGTAAGCGATTTAATATGACATCACAAATTCTAATGCTATGAGATGGAATGTCCAAGTGCCTTCAGGGACTAGTATCAACTTACACCGGTCCAGAATACAGGATCGTGCTCTGAGTCGGGGCCGGAGCCGTGGCCCTTATCATGGCCTTTTCCTTTACCGTGGTCTTGGCCATGAACTGGACTGTGGCCGGGCCTGTGAGCTTGTTCCGACGCCACTGCGCCTACAATGCCAATGGCAAGAAGAGCAAGATTGAGCTTCATTTTAAAAAACCAAAGGTTCGTGTAGTGCACTATGAGAGTTGATCAGATTCCAGGATATGGCTGAGACTTTATGTCTTTCCAGGTCCTGCATGGGTAGGAAATTTATAGGACCCAAGGCGGACGAGGGTTGGTTTCACTTGAAACAGCAATAATAACAGCCTAGAAGAATATACTGACCATCTCCAGACTGACGGTTTTTGAGGGATATTTTGGTCTATTGTCTAGTTGCGAATCCTGCCTGAACAATAACTTGGATCAAGGCAAGGGCCAACGAAAGTGAGACACACCGCATCACAGGGACATAGATGGCCAGGTTCAGTATTAAAGACCATAAGAAGTACTAAACCGATTAGCAGCTGTGAATTGGACAATGAGATCAATTATTACGCAAGTTTATCCAGCTACGGAACTGAGGCTCGTTTGGACCCTCTTTCGGACAACGATTATTACCATGAGCCCCCAGGTAGAGAGAACTTCAGTTGTCGCAGCAGTTGAATGCTTTTTTGGCGAGGTTCACGTGCCGATTGAGACGCCAAGATACAAGTGGCCTCAAAACCGAGAAACACCACAACGAAAAAGAATCAAGCGGTGCACTAGACAAATATCTGTTGGAGAAGGAGGCAAAATTTTCCCGAAGAGCTCTCTGACGCATTGTCATCGGCGGAATATGTGATTAGTCAGATAACGCAACGAACAATAGCCCTGTTACGCGGGAATAACTACAGCTGCCTAATGCCGAAAATCTCTCGGCTCGTGCCTTTGAAAGAAGAATTGCGGGAAATACAGCGGTGTGACAGACATAGACACACATACTCCGTCCTCTTAACAAAGCACTGTACAGACCAGCAATGTTGTCCTCGATATGCTACCAGACACGTTCCGTGGATTCTCCGATCCACTGCGGCCTTCAGGTTCTTAGTCTCTTGGTAATTTTCTGGGGCTGAGCCAACTTTACACGGCAACCAACTCTCACAAATACCGTTGGGACCTTGATACAACTATACATGTTACTTTGCTACTATTGTCTTTGCTACACAACTCCAGGCGCTCGCAGATCGGCACGCTCCGCACATCCGGCCCACATTGCGCAAAATATCCATAGGTAACCCCGGCTGTTCTTTAGCAAGAGGGGCCGGCAGACGATCATTAACTACCCTTTGAAACTGTCTGTGGAGAGAGGAGGTTTCCATCCCGAACAAGATGCTATGGAGCAGACAGATTGCTTCCTGTGACGGACGGGTTGCTTGAAGACAATATTAAAAAAAAAAAAAAAAATAACGCTGAGGGTCCCTAGAGAGCGTTGGTAGTCAATAATATACCTCATCAATAAGGCGAAAGCCGTAGAATTTAAATCTTCTTTTCTGAGGACGCCACTAGGTCGTTGCCGTAGGCCTTTGTCATGCATCTGGTGTAAGCAAAGCTGCTTGCCGATGCTGAATCTAGGCCCGTTTAATTTTTTATTTCCTTTTTTTAACCTGTTATGCGGCTAACTAGAGTTGGTCTCATAAATTTCTCTTTCCGGCGAAAGGACAGGACGTCTTTGTTGCACTCAACACTGGGCCAGGAGTGGTCATGATGCTCCCCTCTCATTTCAATCAGATGGCGGCTGATAGAGAAGGTCCGAATCAAATTTCACATGTCATTAGGAGATGCATATTCGAAGAAGACTTGAGCTCAACGGTAACATTCAGACTGCTCGTACAAAGTAACCTGTCAATAATAAATTTGACACAACTCCAATCAATAGCCGAGTTGCCCCAGAGAGCCACATCACAGTCACGCATCTAGGCCTTTGGAAACGCCTTGTCAAATTCCGTAAGAGTGCATCGGTACCTAAACTTGTTATCCTTTTGTCTCTGAAAGGCCTCTCCGCAGTTCTTCTCCGAGATAGGCATAAGCTCAACCCACGGCTTGACACCCTTCTCGGCGGCAAGTTTGAGAAGCGCGTCCATTTCTTGGTGATTTCCAAGATGACTACCAGTCAACTTGGGAGCCCCGCCGGCGAAGAGACCGGCCGGCATTTCTGGGAGCGGCTTGTCCGGAATGCCGACCATGTGAAAGTCCGCTCCCGGCTTGAGGATCGACAGGTACGCAGACATGTCGAACTTGTTGGTGGCATCGGCGCAATTCATGACAAAGTCAAACTTGGCCTTCCAAGGCTCATTCCAGCCCTTCTCCGTCGTGAGAATGACGTCCTTGGCGCCCAGCTGCTTGCAGTCGTCCTTCTTGTCAGGAGAATGGGTGAGCGCGTACGTCTCTGCGCCGAGAGCCACGGCCCATTGCAAGGCAAGATGGCCCAGGCCTCCGATTCCAACGACGCCAACGCGTTTTCCGGGTCCGACATGGGCGCGGACCATGGGCGAGTATGTCGTGATGCCTGCGCAGAGCAACGGAGCCGCCACATTGGTCTCCAGCGCATCTGGGATCTTGAAGGTGAAGTATTCGTGGGCTCGGATGTGCGATGCGAATCCACCGTGAGCCCAGCTGCCGTCGGGATACTGGGCGTTGTATGTATCCACGAGTTTCGGGCAGTAGTTCTCGTTCTTGTCCTTGCAGAGATCGCACTCGAGGCAGGCCCAGACCTGGGCACCGACGCCCACGCGGTCGCCGACCTTCAAGTCCTTGACGTGCTGCCCGACCTTGACGGCCTTTCCTACTACTTCGTGGCCGACGCAGAGAGGCCCTTTGTAGTCGCCCCATCCGCCGGTGACGGTGTGAAGGTCCGAGCTGCAGATGCTGCACGCTGCGATTTCGACGTCGACGTCGTGGTCGCCAAATGGCTTTGGCTTCAGTTCTGATTTATGGAACGTGTTCCATGTTTCTGGCCCGTCGACGCAGAGACCTTGGAAAGTATCGGGGTAGCCCATTGTAGAGTCGAGTGTTGTTTGTAGATGTACGGCTTGGTACTGGATAGATGTGAAATGTGATGGTAATGCTGCCGTAAAGAGGCAGCGGCATTTGAGATATATACCATAAACCATTATTTCAACGGGGCTGTATTAGAATTGTCTGATTACTGCCTAAAATCATTATGACGTTGGTCTTGGCCGTTGATGATGCGCATAATGGTGGAACTACGTCATAGACGTTCACACAGTGTCATGGCGACGGTCAACGGTCGCGCAGTTTGAGGATGGAATCTTGGTGCGCTGATTTCTTTCAAAAACTAAGGTTGGCAGGTGAATCTATGTCGTCATGTACGGCTGTGTCTATTGCCGCGGTTGATGGCTAGGGATGGAGTGGTTTACTATATGTACTATTATTTCGCCAGAGGTCCCCATCACAACAGCTTTCACCAGACTTGGCAGAGACAACGCCACCTCCTGGATACTAAGTGTCATTGTATGCACTAACGGAGGCTCCTCCGCTTTTGGCAGTGCGGCTAGCAAGCCGTCAATACGACAACCGTTACTACTTTTAGCGGCCTTGGCAGTGCAAAGGACTCCGAGGACGTGGGATGCATAGGTTAACGGTATATACGCTGACGTATTAGTTAAAGATGGAATTTGTGAAACTTGTAAAAGAAATATACCAAATAATGATAATGCCATATATACAGTAAGCTGAAAGATACTTATAATAGCCTATTACTCTAGCCATGGCAACCACAGTTGTAGAGAAAGAGTAATGCACTCCCTGATATGTCCGATAATTCAGTCATGTAGCCGTCAGAAAAAACAATGCGGCCGGAACATAGTTTGTGAGTCCTTGGATCTACACATTACCGTAGTTGACAGTATATCCCCCGGTAATCTGAGTGTACTTCAAATCTGCCTTTCCATTGCAGTGATGGATCCAGCACTGCCCGTCTTAGACGTAGGGTTGTAAAAGGTGATTTCGGTCTTGGGCTGCTTGGGGCAGTCCAGACCATTTGCATTCCAGGGAAAGTACTCAACAAAGCCTATCTGAGAAGGCTTGATATTCTTGGCCTGGATAGGCAGCTTAATGACACCAATTTCGTCGCTCTAGGTTTTCGTCATGACGCCGGGCCAGGTAGCATCGCTGACATGTTCCACGCTGAAGTTGTACGTGTCGGCGTAGTCATCGGAGCCCTCGATGGCGCAGCTCACTCCGGCTCCCTCATCAGCACCGGACTTGCACTTGGCGTGAGTGCTCGTGGCGCCCTTTTACAAGAAGGAAAAGGCGGCGAGGAAGATGGGCTTTTCATTCCTATCGGGCCGGGGTTGGAAGCCAATATATCCCACACCGCCGATGCCGTCGAAGTCAACTTGCTGGGCAAAGTAGTAGCCTCTTTCGTGCTTGGCATTGGCAATATTCATGGGGAATGTTATATCCTCAAGCCCGGTAGCCGGGGCACTGGCAAAGCTCCACCGAACACGAATCGTGGTAGTCGGACCATGACTGTTTACGAAGCTAAAGTAGCATCTCACGACTGCCCAGGATGCCAAGTTTTGCCGGTACGTGCTTTTGAGACATACAGCCACCAAACTGCCTAGGTCCCTTCGCATTCCGTTTCGTAAGTCAAAGCTTAACTGGCATGGGCATCGTATCATTGTATTAGAGTAGTTGTGAGGGCTCACGGAAGGGAGCTATAGCGAGGTTACAAGAGCTCGTGATGCAACTGACAAGTTGTATTATAAGAGAGCTAAAAGAAGTAAAGAAGTTAATTATGTAAAAGAAGAAGAAGAAGAGCTAGCTAGAGGGTAGCAGCGTAATAATAATAACCTAGTGCCTTACACGTGATTATATAGGCCTTAATATTCTCTCATTTAAAAAAAGATAATAGCTTTATTATTAAGATAATAAAAAAGAAAAAAAGAAAAAACTATTAAATCCCTTATTTATTAAAGTATATAATAATTTTACATTACTTAATTACCTTCTTTATTAGTTTAATTTATATAAAGGCTAAGAGCCGTTAAAAATATATAATACACGTAATTAAAGTAAAATTAAAGCTAATTCCTTATTTTAATCTTCCGTTTTATTTACTTATTAGCTAGTAAACTTAATACTATTATTACTAGTATTAGCCTAAGCATTATTATCTTTATTATTTTAAGTAGTAGTAGTATTAGCCTAAGTATTATTATTCTTACTATCTTAAGTAGTAATAGCACTAGCCTAAGTATTATTATTAATAGTAGGTATGTTATTAATAGTATTATTTCACGTAATACTATTATAAACTATTATAGCGTTAGCGTTAATAGTTATATCTTAAGTGTTATTATTATAAGATACTCTCTTTAGTTTATTAGTAATAAAGCTAGTAGCTTATAAAAGCTATTTTACGCGTTAAGCTTATTCGCTTATTAGGGGGGGTATACGTTTTCTTTAGGCTTTTTATTTCTTACTAGGCTAAGGCTTTATAGTATTAATGCCTTTAATTAGAAAGAAGAGGTTATAAATAATATTATTAGAAATATATTAGCGATTTTAATTATAATTATAATAGTAGTAATAATAGTCTAATACTTATTAAAAATAAAAGCGTGTAATTCTTTAACTTTAACTATTACCTTTAAATACTTAGTATACTATTTAATGGGATTTATAAGTCTTACTTTAATTATAGCCTTAACCTTAAGCTAATAAATAGGGTATATATAAAGAGCTTTACAGCTATATAATATAAGGGATAATAGGTATATACTAGGGTTTCATTTAATATATACACGTGTCGTGTCTTTATTAATATACTTAATTATCTTCTAGTAAGTATAAGATGCTTTTTTATTAGGCTATTAATATAAAAGGGGTTTAAATAGTGCGAGTATTAAGGTGTAATTAATCTTAATATAAAGGGGGAAAACTTAAAGGTAATTTCTTTTATAGGCTTTTATAAAAAGCTATATATATGTATTATTTACTTACTTATTTTAGGCTATTAATTATATAACGTAATTAACGAATTATCTCTTCTTCTTTAAGGGTTTAATAGTAATTAAAGCTTTAATAGTTTAAGATATAGCGTTACTTATTTATTTTATTAATTTTAGCTTAAAGAGTAAATAAAGAGGGTGTAAATTACTTAATATCTTCATAGATAATACGTAATATTATAGGTTATTTTATAAGCGGGATAAAACTAAGCGCCTCTATTAAATAACTAGCTTTATTAATAACTACTAGAATTAAGGATTATTCTTAGTAATAATTAGCGATTTTAATTATAATTATAATAGTAGTAATAATAGTCTAATACTTATTAAAAATAAAAGCGTGTAATTCTTTAACTTTAACTATTACCTTTATATACTTAATATATTAT